TGGAAAGTCCATGATGCAAATTCTAAATATCAATGGTTTCACTACACAACCGACATGCTGATTGTATACAATTCTAGAACCCAGGTGAGTCTGTTCCAATTTCCGTTGTTAATTCTAATACTGATGAGTGCATTCTAGATAATACAGAGTGTACATTCAATACACCATCGGACAGATGTAGGATGAACTTAAGAAGAACAACAATCGAATACAGACACATACACTCCAATTCCAGCTGTGGCGGTTGTGGTGTTTAGATAAACCAATGACTTCTTCGTATTGATGACTGTTGTTGTTTTGAATTCCAAATACAATATATTCGTTCGAACTCATTTAATACTTCTTGATTACATTGCGTTATTCCTGGGAATACTAATTCATACTACAATTCAACTACTTCTGATTATCATAGGATGATATGAAACAGCTGTCAGATCTCAAGAACTTAACAGGTACTATCCATGATTCGAAACCGGACGTGAATAAAACCATCATTATGAGACCTCAAAACGCCACAGCCAGCAAGTAAACCAATACGGGAAGGGCTTAAAAGAAAAAGAACAGGAGGGCGAAGTAACAAATAACTAGGAGCTCAAAAATACAATCTTACGGATACAGCCACGGATTTTCTCATCAACGCAACGAGAATTATACCAGTGCCTGATCTGCAGATTGCAGAAGGTAGTCAATTGTTGGCCAAAAATGGCGTCTATAAAACAAACTGAAGAGATTAAAGCCCGTACGTCCATTGCTTAACCATACCAACAGTAAGAGGAGGGCTAAAAGTTAAGAAATGAAACCTCGAAATCAACCCAAAAATATCTCTCGATAAGATCAGTTATTCTTCACGAGTTCAGGGTTAACTTCACTCTCTCTCAGGCTATGGAATGTCCTAGTGGGGTCCCCCAGGGCTCAATACTAGGACCTCTTCTCTTCTTGATTTATATTAACGATCTTCCTCAACAAGTTTCATCTGACTTATTGCTTTTTGCTGATGATGTGAAACTTTGGAGAGAGATATGTAATCCTAATGATATACTAGTTCTTCAGGAGGATCTGACCTGACTTCAAAGTTGGGCAGACGACAACGGACTTACCTTCAACACTTCAAAGTGCAAGGCAGTCCATCTGAGACATATTGCAGACTATGGTTATAACTTAGGTAATTCCCCTCTAGAAGTTTCCCAAGTTGAAAAAGATTTAGGAATGTTGGTACCCTACGACCTGAAATCGTATGCGAACTTTGACAAAAACGCCTCTCAAGCAAACCTTGCACTGGTAACATTGAAGCGCATTTTTGGCAAGTTTGACAGTAGAACCTTCCACATAATCTTCAACAGTTTTATTCGCCCCCACTTAGAGTACGGAAACATAGTATTTCCTCCCTCCCTCCAAAAGGATAAGGACACTCTGGAACGTATACAACGTCGATCCATGAAATCAGTTCAGGGTCTCAAATTCAAACCTTATAAAGAGCGCCTCAAATCACTTAACCTTTACCCGTTAGAGTACAGGCGTCTTAGAGGTGATCTTCTTATGACTTATAGTATCCTTAATACTTCTGGTCATCCCCTTAAACACCTTCTTAAGCTTAGTCATAACACTAACCTAAGAGGTAACACCCATAAATTGGAGACCCTACATAGCAGAACAGACTGCAGACACAACTTCTACTCCGTTAGAGTTGTCAAGTGCTGGAATTCGCTGCCAACTGAGCTAGTCCAAGCGACCTCCCAGGAGTCCTTTAAGAGAAAACTTGACTTATTCTTAAGGACTAAGGATAACATATTATTATGATTTACCAAATTCTTTTTTTTTCTCCCTCTATTATCGTTCATATACCTAGGTTCTTGCCTGGAGGTATTGGTGATCCACTGCTACCAGGTACGGAAGCCCGTTAAGCTAAAGCTTCTTCTATTCCGTCCTCAACCATTTGAACCATTTGAACCATTCAGGGTCATATTTCAACTCGGTAAACATCGTATAGGTAGACTACCTGTCCACTCACACACGGCTCATATAGACAAACAAGAAGAGGCTCACGCGTTCCAAATTGAAAGCATAAACTGCCTATACACGAACGCCGCGAGCTTGCCAAACAAAATGGATGAGCTACGTGAACTTAGCAACGCTAATGATGCCCATCTGATAGGAATATCCGAAACTTGGATAACGTCTCAGTTTACGGACCAAGAGTTAGCAATAACTGGGATGTCTTTATTTCGCAACGACAGAAAAACAGGAATGGGGGGTGGGGTAGCACTATACGTACGGTCATGCCTGGATGTGCACCAACTTCACAACCAAGAGTTTCACAATCTTGACGAGTCAGTATGGTGCTCAGTAAGGTTATCTACCACCTCGAGGTGCCTAGTTGGGGTCGTTTACAGGAAGCCCACTGCCGACATCGAATATGACAAACGTCTGCTGGAAGGATTAACTCGCTCTACGCGTCTTGGATTCTCTCATATCCTGATTCTAGGGGATTTCAATCTCCCTAGAATCAACTTCGTGGAACATACATACATTGGTGATGCCAACTCTACTGAAGCTCTGTTCTTCAACCTTATCGGCGACCTGGGATTATTTGAAAATGTGAAGTCGGCAACCCGTTGGAGAAACAGTCAGACGCCGTCACGCTTAGACTGGGTATTCACAAACGAAGAATTCCTAGTTGACGACCTCTCAATCCTGGCTCCCCTGGGCAAAAGTGATCACGCCGTCTTATCATTCAGCTTTATCAGCAAGACGGAGCTACGATATCCTACTAGCAACAAGCGCTGGAACTTCAAACGGTTGAACGTGTTAGCTTTACAGGACTATCTTCAACAGGTGGATTGGGATGTTCGCCCTGAAATTGAAGTGGATGCTCATTGGGATTTTTTACTGCACACGATTTTATGTGCTACTGAGCATTCAGTTCCTAAAATGGTCCTAAAAAGCTACAAGCAACCTGCAATTATCAAGAACCGCACTCGTCGTTTGTTAAGCCGCAAAAGGCATTGTTGGGCTGAATATAAACGAACGGATAACTACGGCGCGTACAGGCAATACAAACATATAAGGAACACATGCACAAAGGCAATAAGAGAAGACAGGCTGCAGTTCCAGACCAAGCTTATCGATAGATTCGTCTCCAATCCGAAAAGCTTGTTCAGTTATGCAGCTTCTCTTCGACAAGGCAAAACTGGAGTTTCCCAACTGCTTGGTCCTAATGGCCCGACCAACAACGACAGTGATGCCGCTAACCTTTTGGCTGAACATTACTCCCGGACATTCCAACTGACCCACATCAACCATACTGACGAAAGCTTCACCTGCACCTGTACAGGACTTTCCGAAGTGGACCTGAGTGCTGACTTGGTGCTCCGTAAACTGCAGAACCTAAAGAAAGACACTTCTCCTGGTCCGGACATGGTTCATTCCGCCGTATTGAGGGAAGCAGCTTCAATCCTGGCGACACCACTTAGCGTGATGTTTGCACACTCGCTAAGCAGAGGCAAACTACCGGAAATATGGAAGCTGGCCCACATCACACCAATTTTCAAAGGAGGTCGACGCAGTGAACCCTCAAGCTACCGACCAGTGGCCCTTCTCTCCATACCTTCAAAAATTATGGAATCCCTAGTATTCGACGGCATACTAAAACACTTATCATCCTCAAAGTTCTTCTCGCCTCAACAGCATGGTTTCAGAAAAGGTCATTCTTGTATGACCAACCTGCTGACTGCGGTGGATAGATGGACAACCGTCCTTGATCGCAAGGGGAAGGTTGACGTCATTTACCTGGACTTCTCAAAAGCTTTTGATAGGGTCAACCATGCATGTCTTATCAAGAAGCTTGGACGATTGGGTATAAAACCCCCTTTAATTGACTGGATCACTTCATACCTAGAAAACCGACACTTTAGGGTCAGGGTTAACTTCACTCTCTCTCAGGCTATGGAATGTCCTAGTGGGGTCCCCCAGGGTTCAATACTAGGACCTCTTCTCTTCTTGATTTATATTAACGATCTTCCTCAACAAGTTTCATCTGATTTATTGCTTTTTGCTGATGATGTGAAACTTTGGAGAGAGATACGTACTCACAATGATATACTAGTTCTTCAGGAGGATCTGACCTGACTTCAAAGTTGGGCAGACGACAACGGACTTACCTTCAACACTTCAAAGTGTAAGGTAGTCCATCTGAGACATGTTGCAGACTATAGTTATAACTTAGGTAACTCCCCTCTAGAAGTTTCCCAAGTTGAAAAAGATTTAGGAGTGTTGGTACCCTACGACCTGAAATCATACGCGAACTTTGACAAAAACGCCTCTCAAGCAAACCTTGCACTGGTAACATTGAAGCGCATTTTTGGCAAGTTTGACGGTAGAACCTTCCACATAATCTTCAACAGTTTTATTCGTCCCCACTTAGAGTACGGAAACATAGTATTTCCTCCCTCCCTCCAAAAGGATAAGGTCACTCTGGAACGTATACAACGTCGAGCCACGAAATCAGTTCAGGGTCTCAAATTCAAACCTTATAAAGAGCGCCTCAAATCACTTAACCTTTACCCGTTAGAGTACAGGCGTCTTAGAGGTGATCTTCTTATGACTTATAGTATCCTTAATACTTCTGGTCATCCCCTTAAACACCTTCTTAAGCTTAGTCATAACACTAACCTAAGAGGTAACACCCATAAATTGGAGACCCTACATAGCAGAACAGACTGCAGACACAACTTCTACTCCGTTAGAGTTGTCAAGTGCTGGAATTCGCTGCCAACTGAGCTAGTCCAAGCGACCTCCCAGGAGTCCTTTAAGAGAAAACTTGACTTATTCTTAAGGACTAAGGATAACATATTATTATGATTTACCAAATTCTTTTTTTTTCTCCCTCTATTATCGTTCATATACCTAGGTTCTTGCCTGGAGGTATTGGTGATCCACTGCTACCAGGTACGGAAGCCCGTTAAGCTAAAGCTTCTTCTATTCCGTCCTCAACCATTTGAACCATTTGAACCATTTCGACCTACAACATCTGAAGGCTGGGCTGAGCGGGTATTCGAATGCGCTCGTTAAGCTTGGTTGATCGTGTGTTTTTTAAAGATATCTATACCAGTGACTCATGTAATCTGTGCTTATATGATGTGGACAATGATGGGGTAATCTGTGGTATTATTATATTTTATCTTTATTCCTAACCGTGAATACACCTATGCTTCATAAGGCTTAAATTAATATACGATGTAGATGATAATATTCAACATAATTTGGATTACTTCATTTTAAAACTCACTGACGAATAAATTTCTAATGATTTGTTGTCAATTGATGTTGACATTTCGTTGAAATAAGTTTCTATGAGCTTAAATGGTATTGTAGAATAACACATCTTTCGAAATTTTGAAATTCCGACTCCTCCCTCAGCACTCGAACAGTCTTATCTTAGGAATATCTTATCTCTTCGTTTTACCAATAACCAGAAAATCAATAGAGGGAGAATTCGTTACAAATTCGTATCTGAGGGGTCTTCATACTTTGAATCAACAGTGAAACTAGAAAAAGAACTAGTAGTATCAGTGATGACCACAGTCAAACTTAAGAAAGAGCAGACAAAAAGGGGAAATAATGTACGGAACGACATCAAAACTTATGGTTTGTGGGAAGACAAAAAGTGTATACATCTGCTCCATTGCCACTGCTTGTTATTTACTCCGTGGAAAGTCCTGGACTATGTATCAAATTTATTTTTTTTATCCCAGCCTAAAGGATTGTGCCTACCAACACAGGTTACGTCAGCCTTTAGTGACTATGTGGACTGATTTTACCTATTGATTTCATCCACAGTAGCATTGTCTATCATACTTCTCTAGGTAGAATTAAATATATAAATATATAAATAAATAGCTACGGTGAATCCCGTCACTTGTAATGTCAACGACTTTCGTAGAAATAGTTGTGAAAGTTGGGTTTCCAATATTATGTAAGGCAAGTACTAATCTTAAATGTTGAGGACTCAAAAGGTGGGTGACTGTAATGGCGTAGCTTGTTCGTTTTCAACTTGGTAAACTCAAAATAATTAGGCCTATCCTATCAATAAATTTTTGTGGATGGCGATCCAACTCGTATGGCCATAAACAGATATATTTAGTTGATTTTCACAACATACTCGAGTTCTCTTTCCGAGAAGTATCAAAACTGTCATTACATCCTAACTGGAGCTGTAGTCTAATGTCCTTGCTGTTAGACACTCAGTATTAGGATCAAACGATTTAGTTCATGATGTTTAGTTTGATTTCCAGAAGCTAAGGGTGCATCGATGCTTCGCATATAACCCCTATAGCCCAGTTCGTTATGTGAACGGATTTATCACTATTTGTACGCAAGGGTGTGTACAACATCACTCCAACGAAACTTTTGTTTTTCATTTCTCAGGATAATGAATTAATAATTGGCTCTTGGGATTCTGGACCCTTACTGGAAAATGGAGAAGCCAATGCAGCAAATAGTGAGGGTTCTGTCCACGTATTAAAGTATAGGAAGATATGGAAGGCATCTTATCATCTTGGCATGGTATGTTTGTCTTTTCTACTTAAAAAGAGGATTTCGACTTTTTACAGGTTTCCTGTGTTACAGCAGGTAGTATATACAAACCCGATGAAGTGAGAGACCATTTTAACTGATTTACTTGTTTTAATGAACTGTTTTCTAGACATGGATCATAGCTTTGTGCTCTGATTCACACTGTTATGCATTTGATGCTTGTGGTCTTGTTCCAGAATCTGTAAGTTGCCATTTCTATATTTCATATTAATGCATGTTCTTTTCAAAAAGCATGCTATTTCTGTTATAAGCTAATGTCAGTGGAATAAATTCTCGGAAACAGTAATAGTTATTCGTCCTTATTTTAGGACTTAGCAATGCACATCCATCACTTAACGTTTAAACTCAAGGATTTCAGCTTTAGATTCAGTTTCCTCCGTCCTTCGAAAGAATTTTTCCACAGTTGGTTTCTGTACCCCATATGTCCTTCCACCTTGTGATTAAATCATTTGTTGTATTTGAGTATCACCGAAACTTTCCGGTCTGTAGTAATAAGGTGAACAATTGTAATTGGTTGCATCTGAATAGGAACAGTAAACGGATGATAGGTGATATGGTCGTCCACTAGAAATAAAGTATGGACTACGTAGTAGAACATTGTTTCGAAACTTTTAGTGGCTCACTTTCTGTCCACTACAAAGTTCATTTCTGTATCTTATTACTTAAAACTACCGATAAATTTTATGTAGCTGAGTCTCGTACTCCGGAACGGTAGTATGTTATGAAGAAAATCTTTCTCTACCTTGTTGATCTGTCTTGCTGAAGCCGTAAATAAATCCGGAAAGTTCAGGGTTGGTCCCAATATTTTGCAAGAGTTAAATATGTTACCTGGTCATCTAAACTGAAATGAATGAAGCGAGTTTTGAATATGTAAGTCAGTGGTCAATGTAAATAAAATCTTAAGATCCTAGGCTATAGCTCTTCCTTAAGCTAATTTTCTTAAGTGTTTATCACACATTTTTCAAAAGACATTGTTTTATTCATTGCTATCCATATCTAAAACATCACATACCACTACATGATTAAATTAAAGAGTCATGATGACCTTGTTAATAGATCAGACAGTCAATCAGCTACAACATAGGACCAGGCACACATATGCATCGGTCCAAGCTGCCATACCTCGTTAGCACAACAAGATGAACACCCAATTCATAGAAGTAGTTAATTTAGTGGTGGTAGTATATAAAAGATAGGTTTTATATAAGGATATAGTATAGGAAGGAAGAAAGTTATGAAGCAACTTCAATCTCAAGGTTTAAGGGAAGATAATGAGTGTATACACCCACGCCATTATGATCGATTGTGAGCCATGTCACCTAGAGTATCCAACCATTAGTTACGATAGTCACGCGGATCCCAACCAAGTAGTCTGCATCTGCCAACATGGCTCAGACTAGAAGTTAGTGACTTCAAGCACTGATGCCACGTTTTGGTTTGGCCGCCCTTAACTCTCTTCCAATCATCCCCTACACTAGTCATCATTGTGCGTCGTGGTAATCGGTGTTCAGGCATACGTAACAGATCCATTGTCTGTTGTTTGATAATATGTTTCATGTATCATTACGAAACTAATAAATTCTGGTAATTTGAACCCAATGGATTTGAAAAACAAGCAAAACTTTATTCATGTTTGTATTTTTGTACATCTATAGGAAAATATTTCAAGTAAATCTAAACAAAAAATTAACGCTCATGGTTCTTCAAAGGCTGATCAAACTGTCAAAACAGAAGTTGATACATTGAAAATGGTTCATCATCAAGAATTAGCCTACAACGCCAAAGATGTCTGTATATTTAAAGAAGGTAAGATTGATAGGTTATGGAATAATTTATCAATGTATTTTTGAGTTCTTAACTTGTTAATACTATCTTAGTTTAATTGTATTTTCCCCATGTTAAATTACGCCCCCAAAATGCCCTGGTATGGCCGAGAGTGGGGAGAGTCCGCTCTCCCTCTAGAAATGCTCTCACATGGCCACGCGTATACAGCCTCTGCCAGGGAAGTCCTACTCACTGCCTTCTCATGGCGGGGGTGTTGTTCACGAAAGTGAGAGGACGAAAAGCGAATGTCTGACGCTTTAACCGGGTTGGTGGACACAGAAAGTTTACCTAGGGCAGTTGGAAAATCCTGATTCCAAATCAATGGTGCACATGGACTCCAGGATCCTGATAGAACGAATGGCGTATGAACCTGTTGTTGGTCACCGGCTACCATGGGACTGCATCTCCTCACGATGCTCCACTGCCTTGTGGACCAGACCTTTAGGTCAACGGCTCCGGATGTGGCTCCTTAAGAAAACCACCTGCTTCAGTTTGGGCACCTGGACAGTATCACAGCCCTCACACAAATCAAATGAGATTTGTGCGGCGCATATGTATCTGGTACCTTTTTTGTACCAATATTTATGTGTATAAATAAATAAAATAGAATTTTAAATTACTTGGTTTGTGAACTTATGAGTGGATTTTTGCTTCTGATTGTCGTGACATGATTCAGCGATGGATAGGATTCGTAATTTATGTCGAAATCCTCAGTCAATCAGTCACAACGTTGAACTTCGTACATACGTACGCACATCAGTTTGAGTTGCTATACCACATTAGCACATAGATTCAGTTGTCGATTCAAATCCCATAGTGGTAAAAGTAGTAAGAGTATAAGCAGTAATCCGAAGGATTAGGGTTTGAAGATGTTATTGAAGGAATATAATCCAGTGAAAGAGAAAAATATATAGACATAAATAATTCAGAATATTTGAATTTGGTAGAACACAAACAGCGAATACACCTTCGCCATTGCAAACGATTTTTCTCGACCTCTCTCATTATTAACTTACTATACACGAATTTTCTGTATTTGCTCATTTATTTCCTTCCTATTTGTCAACACGCGTCCTGAATTCCACTGCTAGCCACTATCCATCTTTGCTTAGAATGTTTATGAATTAAGGCTATATGCACAGTATGCACATACTACCAATAAGAGACTGACCAGTTGCAGTCCTAAAAACATCAATGTGAAGATTCAAACAACCAATACTAAATGAACTTTTTTTCTCTGTTGCTTTTTGCTTATTTTTAGGAGAAATCGCCGTAGCTCATTCTGATCGTGTTGTTCGATTATATTCATGGTGTTCATTTAAAACAACTGATGATAAATCTAAAATATTATCAAATAAAATATCAAATTTAGGAGAATTTATTCTATTAATAAAATGGGAATTAGCTGGTCAGGTAAATTGTTTATATAAATGTTAATGTTTAATTTCTTTCAAAAAAAGAAGGACAATTGATTTGGGGGGGGGGAAACATAGGTGTCCTCTTACCCCGGCGATCGACTATAATTATATTTCTTGATATTGTGATTGTTATGACTTGTGACCGAGTGGATGCCTTGTTAATGTATGACGTGATAAGACCGCCAATCAGAGATCAGCAAATTATCAATTGGAATAGTGACACACGAAAACCGTACAAGTAGTTTAGAGTATGTATCCGCCCTGCTTTCTGCCTAGCCCAGCCAGTTAAGTTCAGAACACCAATAACAGCCTCTATGGTATGAATCATTATATTCCAAACATACTGAGTTTATATGCCAAACAGACTGACCACATCGTACCAATAAAATAGGAAATAGCTTTTGTACAAGATTCATCCAAAATGTGGCTGTGAATGTGGGAGGCAGCAATTAATAGACTAGGGATAACTCAAGAATGATAAATCGTATAACAATAGTTTATGGTTCAAAATAAAGCTCATGATAAGGGGAACATGAATATTAATAGTTCAATTATTTTGCAATTATACGATAAAAAAATATGTGCATAATATTGGTCCATAAATGGATCCCAACGTGACCATTCACTATTCTTAGCGGGACACAACACTTACTATACTAATAAACAATCAGACGCTTAAAAGTGACTAACATTCAGAGGTAATTCTTTGAGTTCTGGCAAGGAATCTTGACCAGTGTAGTCGGTGGTGAAACAAATATCATCAGCGATAACAGATGATGGTCGCTCAATATCACGAGTTGACTAAAGTTGTAAATATAAACCATTGGATCTCAACTCGAGGATCTAAAGGTTAAGTCAGTCAGTCACAACGTAGAACTTTGTACGTACGTACATCAGTTCGTTTTGCCATACCACATTAGCACAGAGATTCAGTTGTCCATTCAAACCCCATAGTGGTTGAAGTAGTAACAGTTTAAGCAGTAATTTGAAAGATTAAGGTTTGAAGATGTTATTGAAGGAGTATAATGCAGTGAAATTCTTATCGGGATATAACAGTGACGGCGTTCTACTCCGTTAATTGTAAAATTTTATAGTCGTATTTATCATTAAAAAAGGTCAACCGTAAAAGTGCGTTAACCTTATAAACGCTCCTTACTTAAACGTTATTTTAATGTAATTTAAACACATAAATATTGGTACAAAGGGGAACCAGATACATATGCGCCACACAAATCTCATTTGATTTGTGCGAGGGCTGTGATACTGCTTGGGTGCTCATACCGAAGCAGGTGGTTATCTTAGGGGACCACATCCGGAGCCTTTGACTTAAAGGTCTGATCCACAAGGCACTGGATCATCCTGAGGAGACGGTAGCCGGTGACCAACGATTGGTTCATACGCCATTTGTTCCCTCAGGATACTGGAGCCTATGTTCACCATTGGTTTGGAATGAGGGTTTTCCAACTCCCCTAGATGGAATTTCCGTGTCCATCGATCCGGTTAAAGAGCCGGACAATCGCTTTTCGTCCTCTCAATTTCGTAAACAACAGTAATGCCCCGAGAAGGCAATGAGTAGGACTTCCCTAGCATAGGCTATATTCGTGTGGCCATGTGAGAGCATTTGGAGAGGGAGGGCGTACTCTCCCCACTCTCGATCGTACCACGACATTAGGGGCTTAAACGTTATTAATCTGATTAGTTTACCGTTATCAGAATCTTTAACTTAAAGTGGTGTTCTTCAAGATTTCCCACTATCTCCACTTTTATTTGACTTCATTATAATAATCTTCCCAGAAATCACACTTTCTTCATCTAATTTTCTAGTTACTGATCTTCCCTCCTCTGAAAACTTATTAATTGACATTGAATACTTTCGGGTTACATTCCTCGTCATCAAAATGCTTGAAGACTGGTCTATGTCATTTAAATTGATTATAGAGAGTGAATTAGTTGACCACCTTGAGCATTTCAGTTATTGTGGAAGTCTCATAATCACCATACTAGGTTGTATCTGAAATGTCAGTAAGGTTTACAAAGCTTGATTGGCGCTTGCCAATATGTATTAATTATGGCATAGGTAATTATCTTGACCAATTGTTTGAAATTTAGAGTGATGTGGCTCAAAATCAATCACATTAGTATAGATGAATTCACTCTATTCACCTCTAAATTCTAGTATTCTTTCATATATACTTTCTTTCCATCCCATCTTCTGGAACAATATTTCTAGTGTTGGTTGATAATTGATGATAAATCAGTTGATGAGGTTATAAATCTTTATCGACTGAGATGGTTGGGCCACGTGTTACATATGCCTGAACACCGATTACCATGACGCACAATGCTGACTAGTATTGTGGATGGTCGGAAGAAAGTTAGGGGCAACCAAACTAAAACGTGGCATCAGTCACTCAAATCACTAACTTCTAGTCTGAGTCATGTTGGTAGATACAGACTACTTGGTTGGGGTCCGAGCGACTATCGTAACCAATGGTTGGAGACTGTATGTGACATGGCTCAAAATTGATCACAATGGTGTAGGTGTATACACTCTTTATCTTCCCTTAAACCTTAGGATTAAAATTGCTTTATATCTTCTTTCTACCAACTAATTCTTTCTCCCTGTACTATATCTTTATACACAGTCTTTCTTTTATATATTACTACCATTAAAGTACCAACTTCCATGAATTCAGTGTTCATATTGTGCTAATAAGGTATGTCAACTTGAACTGATGCATATATGTGCCTGGTCCTACATTGTAGATGACTGACTGATGATGTAGTGAATATTTTGTTCATCTTTTCTGTTTTTTTAAAGATGAAGTTATTTAAATTTTAACATAAACTATATATTTTATACAGTTGAGGTCGTGAGTCAATTGAAGCTAGACCACCATGGAAAACCTGGAAACACTGGACGGCCGTTTCGTCCTATTATGGGACTCCTCAGCAGTGCGCAACCACGATCCTGCCTCGCAAGATTCGAACCCAGGACCCATATATTGAGATCATGTATCAAATGTAATCAGAGTTCAAACGAAGTTAATAAACGTAATGAAATAAATAAATTATGTCTGACATTTAGATTTAAGTAGTATGTTTCGTTCTATTCTCGAACACTTACGAAAGTTTTGTTTTAAAAAAAAGAACTGAAAAATCATTTATGGCCGTAACAAAAAGTTACAACGTTTACTACAACTGGAAATGATTTATATATTATGATTTACTTCATTGTAGCATTTCATCCCTTTTACTGTGTGATATGTACTACTGATATCGACAGTTATAAGTAGTATGTGTCATCAGTTGAAAGTGAATTACCTGGCGGCAGAAGGATTAAAAAGGTTGAAGAAAAGCAAACAAGAACAGAGAATGATTAGTGTGGAAATGAAAGAACAATGAAGTCTGAGACGATTGTTTGACATTTTGCAAATGAAGTATTTATTGTATGGCTCGCAGATTTCACTAAGGTGTTCTGTAACTTTGTATTCAAGTATATCCCATTGTTCCTACTTGTGTTCTCGTTCACTACATACAACTGGAATACTATTTATACGATTATAAAATCATTACTAGACTATAATGTGATACATGTTTATAATTTTTTCTGGTTAGCGTTTTTTTAGCGAGTTGGTTTTTCTACGGGATGGGGTCACTAACCCCCATGCCCAACCCTCCTCCTTTACCCGGGCTTGGGACCGGCAGTAGCCTCCGGAGGAGCTGCAGGTGGAGTTACATGTGTATAATAGTCGTGAGTAATCGACAAGATACCTGTAAACAAAGATTTCATGCTAGTTGACATTCTTCAAAACAACTATAAACCAATATCAAAGCGATAATCTTTAATACGAACGTTAATACAGTTCTACTGTATGAAGCTGAAACTTACAGAACTACAACAACTATCATCAGAGAGGTACAAGCATTTATAAACAATTATCTACGCAAGATACTCAATATCCGTTGACCGGATACTATCGGTAACAGCCTACTATGGGAGAAGACAAACCAGCTTCTGGCTGAAGAGGAAATTAGGAAACGAAGTTGGAAGTAAATAGGACATACATTAAGGAATTCACCAAACTGCGTCACGAGGCAAGCCCTAACTTGGAATCCGGAAGGGAAACAGAAAAGGATTATTGAGGACATAGTTGGATGAAGAGTGTTGGTGTGTGGCCTATGCTCCTCCTCGAGAGGTAACAGGCGTAAGTAAGTTTGACATTCTTCAGTAATCTGTACTACTTGTAATCATGAGGGAACTAATACTTGATGTGACATAGAATATTATGCAATCTTGAACCTTTGTTTATTAGTCAATGTGTTGTATGCGTGGATACAAACTTCTCAAGATGTTGATAACAGTAATAATAATATTATTATTATTATCACTATTGTTTAAAATCACCTTTTAGGTCAACCGAATCGATACATGCCTAACACAGGAATATGGTCTTATTGTAAGTATTGACTTTTTTTATTTGGTAAAATGTTTGTTACGTAATCATATTTGTAATCGTTTGATTCATGAATGAGTACTATCCCTCTGTCTCTCTCTCTCTATATATATATATATATACTTTCCCTTTTCTTTCATCTTTAAATTTACGCTGTAATTATTATCGATGATAACCCAAATACCTCACTTTCGGGTTGTGTGTTGCATTCGATAACATTGATAGCTCATATGATGTATTCATTAAACAATGTAAGTTGCCTTTTGTGACGTTATGCTTAAAATATTATCGAAATCAAGTAACGTACTGAAAATTATTTAAGTAATAAGATAAAAAAGAAATAAAAAGATGAGAAGCTCGAACAGAATTAACAACATCCACTTAATGGATGGAAAATGTCTAAAAGGTTGAAACACAACTATTGAATCATGTATACGTTGTGGATGATCTCAATCCTGAGGGAACAAATGGCGTATGAATCAATCGTTGGTCACCGGCTACCGTGGGACTGCATTTCACTATGCTCTACTGCCTTGTGGATCAGATCTTTAAGTCAAAGGCTCGGGGTGTCGCTCCCTAAGAGAACCGCCTGCTTTGGTTTGGGCAACCGGGAAGTATCATAGCCCTCAAAAAAAATCAAATGAGATTTCGGCGCCTTCTTGTACCAATATTTATGTGTTAAAAGAAATAATACAGTCTTTCAAAAACTTATTCAATTAGTTTGTCTGTAATTTGTTTTCCTCATAAAGTTATTGTCAATAAAGTTGCATGATTAATATATAATGGGCATTTATCATCCCTTTTTCTTCTTTTGTTTCAACTACAAGCTTATTGCTTCACAACCAAGTGGAGGATTTGCACATTTACATCGAAAGTTCGAAAAATACCACGATATGGTTGCGTAAGTCCTTCAATTTGCTAGATTTTATGTCATTACATTACGATAACCGTTGTCATGATTATTTTATACATTTGGATACATAAATATTGGTACAAAGGGGCACCGAATACATGTGTGCCGCAGAAGTCACTCAATTTGTGTAAGGGCTGTGATACTTCTCCGGTTCCCAGACCGAAGTAGGTTGTTTTCTTAAGGGGCCACACCCCAAGCCTTCGACCTAAAGGTCTAATCTACAAGACAGTGGAGCAACGTAAGGATATGCAGTCCCATGGTAGCCGGTGACCAATAATTGGTTCATACGCCTTTCGTTTCCTTAAGATACTGGAGCCGATGTGCACCATTGGTTTGGAATGAGAGTTTCCCAAATCCCCTAGGAGGATCCACCGACCTGGTTAAAGTACCGGACATCCGCTTTTCGTCCTCTCCATTTCGTAAACAATATTAGTGCAGTAAGTAGGACTTCCCTGTCGGCGGTTGTATGCACGCGGCCATGGGAGAGCTCACTCTCAGCCGTACCAGGGCATTTGGGGGCCTTGGATTCTGTAAACTTACGCCACTTGTGATAGCAGTGAATTATCTAGTTTTTTTTGACAAACAGTGAATTTACTCTGTAGCAAACAGTTCACTGATGTCTTACAGAGGATTAACGATGACCACTATAAGTTGATAAATATGTATTGCTGTTATATGTGTCAAACATAAATATCCCTGACGATATCAAGGCATTCACCTACCTAGAGTTAATTATCTTTTTTGAAAACCGAATATTACTTACTTACGCCTGTCAATCCTCACGGAGAAGAGCGCAGGCTGTCAACCAAGCACTCTTTATCTAACTCTAGCAAATCATAACTGCATTTTCTTGATGAAAAAAAAACGGGACAACCGTTTCGTCCTATTGTATGACTCCTCAGCAATGCGCATCCACGATCTCGCCTCGCGAGATTCGAACCCAAGACCTACCACTCCTTGAATTGAATCTCTTTCTTTTTTGTTTATTTCCTTTTTATATTTATATCCATTGAATGATAGTTTTTTCTTTATATTTTCAATAGACCAATCTTGACTTATTATCCTCCACGTATAAGCAATTCAAATAATTTAGAAACACGTACATGGCTTATTGGTAATGTAAATCATTCAAATGATACTAATACTATTATTGACTCAAAGAAAATATCACGTTTACTTTGTTTATGTACAGCTGATGGTCATATGAGACTTGTTGATCCAACAATACATAATAATAGTAATGATAATGATGAATCAATTATATGGTCTATTCAAGTACATACACGTAGTGAATTATTTGCATTGTGTAAAATGAAATTAACTGTAAGTTGTTGTTGTTGTTGTTTTGATACTACTACTATATACAGAGAAAGTTTTGTACATAACTACTGGGTTATACGCTATATCTACTTTGTGGTCATTAAGAGTAAAAGATACTCGTAAGTTAACTAGTATTTGACAACAGTTGCCTTAGAAACGTTGCTCGCATCTGCTGGAATCACCGGGTAAGTAATAATGAGGTTATACGCAGGATATTAGGGAATGATGGTAAATCAGTTGATGATATGATGAATCTTCATCGACTGAGATGGTTGGGCCACGTGTTGCGTATGTCTGAATATCGATTACCACAGCGCGCTATGCTGACTAGTATTGTGGATGGTTGGAAGAGAGTTAAGGGCGACCAAATCGAAATGTGACATCAGTCCTTAAAGTCACTAACTTCTAGTCTAAGCCATGTTGGCAGATGCAGACTACTTGGTTTGGGTCCGCGCAACTACCGTAATCAATGGTTGGAAACTCTAGGTGACATGGTTCAAAATCGATCACAATGGCGTAGGTGTATACTCTGTCTTTCTTTAAACCTTGATATTAAAATTGCTTCATGTCTTCCTTCCTGTACTATATCGTTATATACAACCTTTCTTTCATATATTATCACCATAGAATTAACTACTTCTATGAATTGGGTGTTCATCTTGTTGTGCTGATGAGGTATGGTAACTTGGACCGATGCATAAATGTGCCTGATCCTACGTTGTAGTTGACTGACTTTGTGTCTATGTATTGAGCGAAGTTAGTGTTATTAAGTTCTCTGAGCCAGATAGTTTAAACTATAAGTCTCTATTGTCTTTTTGAATAACGCTATTGATGATCATTTTTTGTAGAAGTTTAAAAACCATTACCGATAGAGTAAAATATAAGTCTTTCACTTCATGGATTAGACCTCCGCTCGTAGTATATATATATATATATTAAGGAGAGACATCTATATTCCTAGGGATGAAGTGATTATCTAATTGAAGTACGTAATAGAAGTAGGATGAAACTGCATTCAAACTACCTATGTATAACATAGTTCATTTATCAGTAAAATAATAGTATTTAAAGCATTAAACTGTCAATCGTTAGATCCTGTTGGTTCGAAACTTGTCCTATCCTTGTTCTGGTTGGCTAGTCGAACAAATGGGCAATATCACTAGCATTCATAGATACAGGAAATCATAACTCGTGAAATTGTACTTAATGACTAACATGTTCATTATTATTTTATTTGAACATATAAATATTGGTACGAAGGAGCACCGAATACATATGCGCCACACAAATCTCATTTGATTTGTGTAAGGGCTATGATACTGCTTAGGTGCCCAAACCGAAGCCGGTTGTTTTTTTCTTAGGACCACACACTCCGAGCCTTTGATCTAAAGGCTTAATCCATAAAGCAGTGGAGCATCGTAAGGAGATGCAGTCCCATGGTAGCCAGTGACCCACAATTGGTTCATACACCATTTGTTCCCTCAGGATACTTGAGCCCGTGTGCACCATTGGTTTGGAATGAGGGTTTTCCAACTCCCTTAGGTGGATTCACCGTGTCCACCAACCCGGTTAAAGCGCCGGACATTCACTTTTCGTCGTCTAAATTTCGTAAACAACAGTAATGCCGCGAGAAGGCAGTGAGTATAACTTTCCTGGTAGAAGCTATATACACGTTGCCATGTGAGAGCGGACTCTCCCCATTCTCGGCCATACCAGGACATTTGGGGGCGATTAACATCTATGCGATTTAATTCACATTTCATCTTATACAATTCCACTTTGTGTATATAATTTGGTTTTCTCTTATTTTGTTTGCCTTTTTTCTTCTTCTTCTTCTCTCTATTATTAGAAAGATGATGGTGATCAATTAGTTGTTTGTTCATGGGATGGTACTACTTATATCTTTGATATAAATAATAATTCATTATGTTTTCCATTAGGACGTTCATGTCAAGCATTTATAGCTGGATTATATGCTATAGAACCTGGTAGAAATTCTCCAGTATTAATTTATTCAACATTTGATCGTAATACATTAATTTATTATAATTTATGCTTAAATAATATTGCTATACATAGTTTACATAATACTATATTAAATGATTATGGATTAGTGAAGAAATTTCAATCCAAAAATGTTGATCGTAAGTTGTATATAGTAAAAATGAATCATTATGATATTACTAAACATATATGTTGATCTCATTTGTTCTCTATGCGCCCCCCCCCCAATGTCCTGGTACACCTGAGAGTGGAGAGAGTCCGCTCTCACATGACCACGCGTATATAGCCTATACCGGGGAAGTCCTACTCACTATCTTCTCGTGGCGGGGGTGTTGTTTACGAAGTTGAGGGGACGAAAAGGGAATGTCCGACACTTTAACCGGGTTGGTGGACACAGAAAGTCCATCTGAGGGAGTTGGAAAACCCTGATTACAAACCAATGGTACACATGGGCTCAAGTATCCTGGAGGAACAAATGACGTGTGAACCAATCGTTGGTCACTGGCTACCGTCTCCTCACGATGCTCCAGTGCCTTTTGTGGGTTAGACTTTTAGGTCAAAGGCTCCGGGTGTGGTCCCCTAAGAGAACCACCTATTTCAGTTTGGGCACCTGGGCAGTATCACAGCCCTCACACAAATCTCATTTGATTTGTGTGGCGCATATATATCTGGTGCCCCTTTGTACTGATATTTATGTCTTTAAATAAATAAACAGCTATTTTATGTCATTGATTTGAAACTTGTTCTATCCAATTCTGTATTTAAACAGTTTTAATCAATGTCCAACCTGGTATGAACATGAGTTAGGCTAATTTATCATTCTAAATCAACACAACGATATGAAATTTACAAGATGAATACCAAATAAGTCGAAATAATCATAGTACCCATAATAGTGGGAAAGATTAAACACATTGATAATACAGTTTGAGAAGTCGGAGTGAAAAGGTATGTACGAAAGGATACTAGAGGCGAAAACCTAAAGGAGGATAAAAACTGAATACATCTATGCTAATGTGATTGATTTCAAGTCATATCACTCGTCTCCAACCACTAATCATGCTTATCGCACGGACTCCAACCACGTAGTCTGCATCCATCAACATACCCCCACAAACCAATAATCAATGTTGGTTTCAACAGCCATATAATATCTGTACCCCCTAAGGTATCATATACTATAAGCACCTCAAAACGAAATCTATCTAAAAGAAGTAATTTATCATTCGACTAAGTATTTGAGACTATTGTTGGTAAGTTTGCCAGGCAATTCACTTCAATACTCAAATTTAGAACCATTTTGATGACGTTAAATAGAGTATTGGATTGGAGATACAGTTAACTAATGAGACCTAAATATTACTTTTCACAAAGGTTTATTTTTGCGTTTCAAATATGGTTCATATGATCATACACTACTGAGGAGTTCTGTTTTGTACAAAACAATTGTATATTACTCCACTGCTAGTTTTATGCTCATTCACCGAGTAAACTGTCAGTATATTTTTTGAGCAACTTCGTAGATCAGTTGAAGTTAGACATTAACACCGTTGGATGCCAGTTGGCTCAGTGGTCTATCAGTTAAGGGCTCTGGCTCGAGACTGGTAGGTCCTGGGTTCGAATCTCACGAGTGTGGGATCGTGGATGCGCACTGTTGAGGAGTCCCACAATAGGACAAAACAGCCGTCCAGTGCTTCCAGGTTTTCTTTGGTGGTCTAGCTCCAATTGACTCATGGTTTCAACTATGAAAAATCATTTACCAAGTACAAAGTTATGTACCATATTCTATGTTACAGACAATTAGAACTTCTTTTCTCCCTATCCTGAAAAATATTTAGTTCCCATGCAATAATCCCCTTCAAAGATTTTAACTCAACAATCGGGCACCCATGAAACCTCAGGATCGAAAAACTGCATTCGTCAGGAACAATATGATTAATAAAATTTAGGATCTTCGAATTTTACAGCGTCTAGAAATCTATAACACAGTCATAGATACAGTTGAAAGGAAGTTACAACATTCAAATAAATTAAATTACAACATATACTGTAAACTAGTGAACAGCGTATAGCTGTCAACCAAGGCACTAGTAATTAAGAAAATAAATCAAGCGTAAGTTTTACAAAGCCTGATATGTTTGAAGGGAATACGAGTTCACCTAAATCTGCGAACAGAACGAAGACTCAATGACCAAATAAGCTAACTATTCCAATGCGTCCCAAACCCGCTAACTAGAGATAGAAGTCCAGGTTCAGAAAAACGAAAATGTATTCCATAAACAGCCAAAAGCACAACTCAAGTGTATATTATACAGCATAAAAATGTCCTTAAGAAACGTTACAAAATAGTATATTACAAAAGACAACAGACTAATGAAATTTAAGATCCTCTCAAGTGAGAAATATGATATGAAAGTGAAGATGGGCGCTTCTGACGCGAAAACAAAAAATTGAAATAACAAATAAGCTTCGACGCGTTTACGAAAGTCGATGTTGGAAAAAAAACATCACAAAACAGTGATTCTCTATTAGGAGGCTGTTATGATATAATGTAACATTTCCTTATGTTCTGCACAAAATATGAAAATACTACAGTATGATCAGCACTAACTTCTTTTATCGAATTCCCAACTGCATCACATTTCATAGATTTAGAAAATGACTAGTGCTAATAAAATACAAACATCTATTAAATATACAACAGAACACTTTTCATCCCATTACGTAGATGGTGAAGCCTAGTAGGCGCTTCTGGAAAAGAGTGCTACATCGAAGCACGGCACAACTACCGGGGCGGCATAGCTGTTTCTGCACTGCATACGCAGGACCATTACACAACACTCATAACCTACTTTTTTGTTTGGACACACTCATCCTTTTACCACTCTTTTGAACCCTCATTAGTTATGCAATGACTCTTTGTAGCATTCGTAATCGTTTGCAGGTATTGGTAGAGTGGTAGATTAGGCCGATCTCCACCACTCACATTAGTACATGGGATGGTTGCCATGATCCAGGAGGCACGACAAGAACGTGTGAGTCGGATTTTCCCTCTCTTGTCATCCCATATCAGCAAGTAATTCTAGGTATGATGAACCATAATAAAAACCGCTTCTGTTACGAAAACAATTATATCAAACAATAGTCTTCTTTAAAATATAACTTTTTTGACTGGGATCCCTATGGTATATCGTCACACTTATAACCTTACTCACTTACACTTGTTACTCCCAATGGAGCATAGGCCACCGATCATTTTTATAGGTGTATCGGCCTCTTGACTTCCGAAGGAACTCGGCTTTCATCATGAGACGTCATAATTATTCCTTCAACTCCCAGGGCAAATTTTAAATGGTTTGAGTAATTTTTTTCTAGTTAGCGTGTTTTTAGCAAGTTGGTTTTCTACTTAGAATCTACCCTAAAGTTACCGATCACTATCTTACTATTTATATAAATTAATCGATATAGTTTTTTGTGTTTTGTCTTTTGTTCTATAACATATTCAACTTTTTTTTTAAAATATATTTTCTAGCATACGATTCAGTACAATTGTCTAAAGCAATTCATTATATACTATATGATTTACCTAAACAAGAAACTCATCCATTACAATAAGTTCAATCGGAAACATTCAGACTTTTTCTGGTTGGAAAGTGAAACAACATAAACTCAGTATTACTTTGTAATATTACACTTTTTTTTGTTTTAGAAAAGAAAAAAAAAACGTTCACCTCATTTTTTATTATGATTGTTCTAATTATTTTTAATAAATAATAAGCAGAAATATTTTCAGTTTTTTTAATTAAACCATCTTTAATTTATCAAACTAAAACAAACGTGTTTATGTGTTATACTGACTTTCTACTTAGTGGTCTATCAGTTAAGTGCTCTGGTATGAGACTGGTAGGTCCTGGGTTCGAATCTCGCGAAGCGAAGTCGTGGATGCGCACTGCTGAGGAGTCCCACAATAGGACGAAACAGCTAACCAGTGTTTTCAGGTTTTCCTTGACGGTCTAGATTCAATTGACTCATGCTTTCAACTATTATTTATTTATTTAAACACATAAATATTGGTACAAACGGGCACCAGATATATATGCGCCACACAAAAAAATATCGTTTCATTTAATTACGTAAGGGCTGTGATACTGCCCGGGTGCTCAAATCGAAGCAGGTGGTTTTCTTAGAGTCTCACATCCGGAACCTTTAACCTAAAGATCTGATCCACAAGCAGTGGAGCATCATAAGGTGATGCAGTCCCGTGGTAGCCAGTGACCAACGATTAATTCATTTGCCCTTTGTTCCTTCAGGATACTGGACTCCATGTGCACCATTAGTTCGGAATCAAGGTTTTCCAGCTCCCCTAGGTGAACTTTCTGTGTCCACGAACCCGGTTAAGGCGCCGGACATTCTCTTTTCGTAAACAATATTAGTGACGCGAGAAGGTAGTGAGTAGGGCTTCCCTGGCGGAGGCTATATACGTGTGGCGATGTGAGAGAGCATTTGGAAAGGGAGAGCGTACTCTCTCCACTCTCAGCCGTACCAGGGCATTTAGGGGTACTCATACAGTTTACACGATATATATGAAGATGAGTTTTTTTCTAAAAACACTGATCCAAGCTCTTTTACATACGATGAAACTTCTTGAATGATTTACCATTCTAGATGAAAACTTGCATACAAACAGTAACCATCTCATTAGTACTAATTCACGAATTAAAACGGTGAAAATATTAAATGTCTTAGGGTAATAGATACATTACGGGAAATCTTAATGTCAATACTCGCATAGTAACTTATGAACATTTATTTTAATTCGATAAATATAACTTTCACACATACATACAAACTCATATTATTTCTTTAGCAAAGCCAACTGTATTAACGATTCAGTCAGTTACAACGTAGAACTTCATACGTACGTACATCAGTTCGAGTTGCCATACCACATTAGCACAGAGATGCAGTTGTCCATTCAAATACCATAGTCGTAGAAGTAGTAAGAGTATAAGCAGTAATTGGAAACATTAGGGTTCCAAGATGTTATTCAAGGAGTATAATCCAGTAAAATAAATTTGGAAAGAGAAAAAGATAGAGACATGAAGAATTCAGAAGATTAGGATTTAGTAGAACACAAAGAGTGGATGCACCTACGCCATTGCAAACGATTTTCAGCCATGTCATTCAAGGTCTCCAACTTTGAATGATATGATGATTACAATAAACATCAAATAATCGTGAGAATTAAAAACGTAACGAAGATATTGTAGACAAAAAGTCACTGTCTTATTAATAAAATTTGTGTTTTGAATTGTCATCATTGAGAAATAATAACTTACTAACACTGGTTAATCAAGAATATAATGATCTAAGTATATTACCACGCTAGTTAATCATATCATTTTTATATTCCATAGTAAAAAGTAAAGGTCGGTTACACTTTACATGAACGATTTCATTTGATAGTCGATTCGAAGATGAAACAATATCATTGAATGAGAGTGTCCCGTTTTCTATTAAACGACAGTAGAGAAAAGTAACATAGATACTGTTAATATATGTATCACATATGTGGAGAAGTGTTAAGTTTGCCCTAATAAGAAACTGTTCAGGCAATGAGAATAGAATTTTACAAACAATAAGTATTCTTATGAATATACTAGGTGTAACACTTGCTAATCTTCGTTACTGTTTTTACCTAAGCAAATGAGGACTATTCTTCTGGTTGGTCATTACTGATGGGATCCAATAGCTGCGTTTTATAATATAGTCAAGGTGTCTTTATGATGATATGATCACTCCTTGTCCAATAGACCAAGTAAATAACCATCAACTGCAAATCATAATCCTAGATCATCACACTAATGTATAACCCTCATTTAATCCTGGTAAGTAGGTGGACATTTCAATGTCATTTCAGCGTCACTTAAGGGTAATCCATAAATTGTAGTCTTACCATCCAGAGATTAGTCAGATTTTATATTTATTCAACAATATGATAACGGCAATATTATCACAATAATTGTCTAGAATTTTGACAAAAAATTACCTAAGTTCCACTGAAGACCTGTGGTTGTTACTTGACATGGTTGTCCAACAGGTATTAAACCTACATGTTGTGCTTCGTATCCTGTGTTAGCATTTATAGTATGTTCACCCTAAAAAGTGTTGTTACTAAATTAGATGGTATGCAAAAATAGACACTTACTTCGTCCAACAAGAACGTAACTGAGCACTCGCTTACCAGAAGTAATGGAATGTTAGTTAGCTTCTTTGCTTCATATAGAGTTTTAATCAATCCCATTTCATGATCGAACCTTCCACCGCTCATTTGCGCTGCAACAAGCACATCTACTTTCTTCTGAACGCTCAAATTAATCATTCAACTATATGCGACTTGCATTGTTTTCTTTTATACTACTGATAATTATACGTACACATTTTGTGAAATCAGTTTCTTCTTGATCAGGTGTCTCAATGACTGAAACATTTTTCTGATCATAAGGGCTAGAATATTACGAACAATGAAGAATCTTACTACTGAACGATAAAATTCTAAAACTCCTAGTTGAATAGAATCAAAATCTCCAGTTAAAAAATGTGGGAAATAATTGTTTCTGTAATTTATGTTTCTGTAAATATGGTTCGCAAACCCATCTACAAAAGCTACAGGATAAGCTGAATAAAAACAATGCTATTACGAATAGGAGATAATACCGTTTTTCCATAGTCGTTTAAAAAGTGTCTCCGGTAAACATATAGGGTGATTTAAGTAAATAACAGCCTTCCTTATATCTGCAGATGGGTATTAATATATATCGTCTTTTTACCATCTTTAAAAATAGATAGAGGTGTGTATATCATCTTTATCTAAAATAATACAAAAAGTACAATTAGGAAAGACATTATGTTTGCTAACTAGTCAAACCACGAGGAGCAAAAATAGTAATGCTCACAAAAAACTGAAACGAGATATAGCTAAATGGGACCGCCTATATACAAGTAAGTGCTAACTGCAAACGTTGAGTTTGGTGGTAGGATAGACACTAAAAACAAGTAGTACGGAACAGGTTCGAACTAGCTTGCGTTCTCCTAACTAATATTAACAAAGTCCAGACAAGACAAGAAGGAGTAATGATGATTTTAATAGAATTTAAGACTGTGAGAAAAAAAAGCAAACTTGCTATGGTTATTATAGTATGATTTTTAAGACCAGAAATATTAATGGCACTGCAACTTCATGTCATAAAGCCTGGTCTCTAACCACTGATGATATCCATAACAATTATGGAAATACTAAACCGGGGTAAAAACGCATTTACTTGAAATAGTAAATAAACCTCGAATGCTGATTAACGAGTTGATTTGTAACCTACATAGCTCTTGGAAAACTAAATACATCTATGTACGCGTAGAAGATTAGGCCACTGCTCTAGGCTTGTACATAGTCGTCTAGGGTGGATCATCAGACCTGGGACTTTTATAAACTTCGGACCCTATGGTTAAGACGTTTACTTACGACAACTGGTTTCTGACATCGCTTTAAAATCACTGGAGTTTACCAACCACAACGCGTCGTATTACTACTTTAAGGTGACATAAAAGTTCCGAAGAGGACGAAGATTCATGGCCTCCTTTTGAACCAAGATTCATGCTTTCATGACAATGAAAGTATAATTTATAAACAATCTTATTACAACCACTACGAATTTCCAGACAGTTCTTTAGCCAATCAGGATACAGCCATTGCAGATGGATAGACTGTGAAGAAGAAGAATATTCCAAAGCACAAACTGACTTGATATGATTAGTAAAATAACCAATACCTTCTACAGGTTATCCTATCTATAAATATAAATCACGATATATTGACATCCTAATAGATATAGATTGCGGAGCACTTTAAAAGACTTAGACATGTTTTCCGGGTTAAGGTTGGGTGCTCCGGTTAGATACTAAGGGTTAAGATTCTAGACTCTCATCAAGGACTGACACAATCCATGATGTATATTGCTCTGCAACCATTCAGTAAATGAATTTTGCTCGGAAGCACGAGAGACACTATCTGATTAGTTCGTTCATAAAATGTGGCGCAAAAAGGTTAATTTTCATTTAAGTAATAAGGGTTTAGGATGACATTTTAGAGATAGTGTCGATTTTCTTATTGTACACCATCAAAAGAGACGAAACTAGGTGTGTAGTACGTTTAGTATTGTCATCTCTTACTATGGTTCTAGGAATTAATTCTACGTCCTCAGAAGCATACAAAGGTGATTCTGTATGTGGTATTCGGATTGCTGACTGGTTCGTCTCTAAAGGACACTTCTAGACTTAAGGTCACCGTAACGCCCAGTTTCAAATATCTTCATATTTTAAGGTCGTCCTTAAAATATCTTCAATATCTTAGTCATGGGTTTGTATAAACCTATTGTTTTCTTTACGCCCGCCTCTTTTGACTTAGGCATGGTTACCATTATTTTTTAATCTTCAATGATTGATGGTCTAGCCAACTGACTGAACTAATTCTGGTCAGTTTGATAGTCATTTGTATATCTTGTAGTTTGAGTGAACACATTTGTTTCAGAACAGTAGTGTTTCTGGATACCAGTAACTATCACATTATCAAGCACGAGGTTGGTTGGTTGTGATGTGAAAACAACAAAGAGATAATTCGAGTGCAAAAAAGATGACTGTTTCATTTATTAATAAATAAGTTGTTGAATTGGTAATGTGTATGAAGACAGAATTGCAAGAATAAGAGCGGGTGGATGTGTTAATAATGGAAG